ATGAGCTGTAGGTGATCAAAAAAACAGTGAAAAGCTCTTTTAAGCTTTATTTATGTGATGCATGAATTCTGAAGATCAGGCTAGATTTAGTAACAATTAGCAATGGATTGTCAGAAAACATGAGACTTACCATTATCGTGTTAGGATGCTTTTATCAGAGAAACTCTACTCTTTCAAAAGTCTAACGCGCGCAACCCTCTCCCAGCAAAAATATCTATGCTCTAGAAACAGCATTAACAAAGTGATATATCCAGCAAAATGTTCCACACGTGTATGTATAAGCGACGCGTAGGTGTAAAATTCTCAGTAAAATGCCACATAATTTCACTGAAGTCGATAAAAATTTCCATCAATTCATTGTGTCAGATTATCTCAAAAGCATCAAAAAACATTGTGCTAACAAAAGCATAAAGCACGAAACCTCATCAAGCACATTCAAGAATCAGCGTTATTTAAGTATGATTTATATAATCCCGTTAAGTACCGAAAAACATTTCCACATTTTATCTCATTTTCAGCATTAACCTTTCTACGCTGCTTTTATTTCCAATTCATTATTGAGGCTTCTGTGGCTTTTATCCCTAATGAAAAATAAAAGATTTTTCCGAGAGAATGTTCATGTGTATGTAGGCAGAGTATTTGAGGATGATATAACCACATCAATAAATTCAGTACAGAAAATAATTTTTCATTTTCTATGCATTTCATGTTTATGTGGTCGACAGCATAGAAAAAAAAATATTTTCTCGTACTATTTTATCAGTTCGGTACAGTAAGTAAACCTAATGAGGTTAACCCAAACGTATAGTTACTTCATATTTTCCAATTCAAGAGTTCCTGATAAAAGGAATAGAATGAGAAGAAAAAAAAAGCTTTTATCAATTTTCCGGATCGGTTTCATGCTACAAACATATTCTGCACAGCACAAATTGATTGTCATGCATATGCTTTATGCTTATTGCTGTGTGCATTGTTATGCATCACATTCACATAAAATAAGCTTTCTTTCTTGCTTTTTTCTCTTCTTTTTTTTTGATCGAAACCATTTATGCATGTATGCTTATTGAGCACATTGCACATCTAGTCATGTAGAAAAAAAACTCTTGGTTTTCTGCTCTTCTTTCTAGGAGTGGAAATTCAAGGATTCCTTTTCTTTTAAGGACTTTTTAAGACATTTGGATTTAAATTTTGAGTACAAGCTGTTAGGCGTTCATTGCTAGGGTCTAGGACCTACATCATAATTTTTTTTAAAAAGCATAAAACCCTTTATAATTCACTTGGATACGCCTCTAGCATAGACAAACAGCCTACATCCGATTGTTGCATCCCTAGATCCAATTCCTCATGCTCCTTTTTTTATTCCTTTTCAATTTCATTTTCAAAAAGTTCAATTGAATTTTGAGCTTCATTCAAATAAATACAGTAGTTCACAGAGTCATCTATAAAATAGAGCTGCAGTTGTAATAAAAGCAGCAGCATAAGTCCTCTATAAAAATTTAACATTATTTTATGAGGAAAATAGAGCAGTATATGAATTCTATTGATGATTTATTGTGGTTTCACTGCTGTTATTCTTGCTGCAACTGCTTGTTCGCATTCTTCTTATATATGCAGAAGACAATGAAAAAAATTCTGCTTCATAAAAATTGATTTTCTCGACTTTTTTTTTCTTCCCGATGTTATTTAAACAAATTGAAATTTATTGAGTGAGGTCGTGTTGCTTGGGAAAATAAATTGATTTAAATGTTTTTTTTTGTCTTTAAATAATTTTTTTCAGGAAAATTGAAGGTTGACTTTTGAATATAATTTAAACCTGAACTTGAAAGACATTCTGAGTTGTTGAAAAAAAAAATTTGTGGTATTTTCGGAATAGACTAGGTAAAATTTTAAATTATGGGCGAAGTCAATGGAGTCCTGACACAAAATTCTGACACTAATCCTGATAATTGTTTAAGTTAATAAACGATAAAACCAGTTTGAGCTTACTTGATTAACTTACTCAAATAGTTCGCTGATTATATAGATCAGTTCTGATTTGTGCTCTAACAGACAAACGAGTATGCTCATGGTACCGTAACGTACTCAAGAATAGGGTTCGGAAAACCACTAACTGATTATCTACAGTTATCAACTTTTAGATTATCTACACAAAATCTACAGTTATCTACAGTTAGTAAACTGTAGATAAATTTTTTGAATGAAGAAAATCCGTTAAAAAAATTTGCAAAGTTTTGTAAACAAACAATTTTTGGAGACTTTTTTAATAAAGTTATATATAGAATACACTTTTTATACATTAAGAGAGCTCAAATGTCAACATTAGCTATTAAAAATCAACTTTTTGTTTATCGAATATTTGTAACGGTTTGATGAAATTCAAATATTGTTCACATGTTTGTAAACAAAAAAAATTTGCGAAAATTTCTTAATTTTCAATTAAATCAGCACACAAACGCTTTTAAAATACTGAATGAAGCCTAATATCACTTTATTTGAACTGTTACATGCTGTTGCAGTCCTGATTTTAGCATTTCAACTCTTTTTTCAGTAAATTAATAACGTTTTTTTCCACTTTGAAAAAATTATCTACAGTTACTTATCTACAGTTACAAATTGTAGATAACTGTAGATAAGTGTTACTAACTGTTAATAACTGTAGATTTCCGAACCCTACTCAAGAATATATTATGAACTTGAGTATGTAACTGTACCATGAGTATACTCATTTGTCTATTAGGGATGGTCTCGTAATATTGTCATTTATTAAATTCATGGCTACGCCCCTGTCAGATTCCAAATTAAATAATCTTTATGTACACAAATTAAGACACGAATAACTTTTACGAGATTTAAGTAACTGTCATCGAAATGTCAAATAATTCGACACAGATTTGGCACTAAATGGACTCTAGTGGAGATTACTTTACATTTGTCTTTTTTAAACAAGCACTTCCATATCTAAGCTATTTGCAAGCTCCAAATACTTATTCCAATCATTTTCCTACCTTAAACTTTCATTGAGAAAAATCCTTTCTATAATTAAATTGTGAATAGGAACTCAAAACAAAATCGAAAAGCTACTCATGAAATCATTAGCAATTGAAGCTTCAATAAGTGATTCAAATTCAATTGATAACTAAACATCCAGCAAACGATAAAGCTTGAAAATCATTTGAATTATCTTTACAAATACACTCAAATCACCATCAATATCTCTTAATGCTTGCAAAAGAACTTCACAGCTTGTTAAATAAACGAAAATAAATCAAACGGAAAATCTCAAGTGCAAAGCATCAAGCATGAAAATCAAAGCAAAAAAGCTGAAGCATTGAAAAAAGGAATGTAAATAACTTCAATGTCGGGCTAGCAAAGTAAAAATTTAATTAGACTTTATAAGCGCGTGATAAGGGTCAAAATTTCTTTTTTCATTCCTGACTCATTCCTTTATTTTTAAACAGCAGTTAAAAGAGCAATAAAAGCTATCAGATGTGATTTAGATTGAATTCATTTAAGCATTTAATCCTTTAATGGAAAGGAGTGGAATTCTGTTTCTATTTCTGTTGTTAAATCAATTAAATTCCATTTATTTTTCGTAATACAAATTGAAATTAAAAGGGATCCAAATGTTGTAAAGTGCTGCGGAGAAGTTTTAAAGCTGTACCGCAAAATATTTTGGACATGAAAAAGTTTTTAAGAAAATTAAATCGAAGGATTGGAAAACTGGTTCATGCAATGTAAGGGTAGGAAATCTTAAATTTCTTTAGTGCTTTAAAAAGTTAACTTAATGTACAGCTCCTTAAAGTGTGCGTTACAGTAAACAACCTCAATTGTTGTTTTTAATAAAATGTTCAATATTTTTTTAAGCAAATCATAATAAAATTTTTACTTTGGGTTTTTGTTTACAGCAATCAATGAAATTGATATTTTTCATGTGCTTAACACTGTTATGGCAACACCTTCCAGGAACAATATTAATAAAATTGACTTTACATCAAAATATTAAGTTTAATAAAGATTTTTTTATCAATTTTTTTTTTTTATTAAAATGGAATGCATTGATATACCTAAGGATATTATCCCAATTCTCGAAACTTGCATGTAAAAAATTTATTATGATGAGCATTAAAGAGAACTATCAAGTATCAAAGTGTTATTATAAAGTCATGAAACAACGAACCAAGGAAGAAACTGTAAACCTTAAAAATAGAAATTCTGAAGAAATCTTTATTGCTACTTTCTAAAATATTAATAATCAGCTGTTATTATTTTACACCGTTTCGCGTCATGATCTTAAATTTTTTTTTCTCAACATTTCTTAATTTAGATATGAATAATTCCATACAGAAGCGTAACCAAAAAAAAACCCAAAGCGCCCCTTAAATTTGTGTTTTCTGTGCTAGCACACTATACACTGGATACGTTCCTGATGTAGCTTAATAAAGATTAAAATAGTAGAATGTCACATTTTAAATTAAGAAGCTTAAGGATTGAAATTCAAAAATTTCAATATATACTTAAGGGCTTTGACCTTGACTTGGCAAATTAAATAATTTTTTTTTGGATTCATTCACTTTGTAGGTAACACTTTGCGGGATGATATCTAAGATTTTTTGGTGTATCAAATAAAAAATGTTTTTGTCAGGAGATGGGATGAAAGGCATATAAAAAAGCTTGTGTGTTACGTAATACAAAATTCGGTTGAATTCGGTAAGGTAAGGTGAACTTTTTGTGTTTAAATTTATTCTCACAGAAATCAGAAATTTCTATAAAAACTAAAATATCAAAGTCACTTTGTGATAATCTCATAATCTCATATCTCAAAGTAATGTCGGAAATTGTCATAAATTAAAAGAATCGCGGACATTTCATAAGAATATATTCCGAAGAAAACGAAAGTTATTGACTTTTATGTAAATCGTTTATATTTGACCATAAAAATTACAGTTAGCACAAGCAGACTAGGCTTTATATAAAAACTTGAAAAAACTGTGCATCTTTTTAGTCTCATCACACATTCTGTTTGTTAAACAAGTTATTCTTGAAATGGAGATGAAATTTTATTTTATTTTTGTTCTTACTTTTCAACTGTTTTTGGCTACACGTGCAATTTATGATGGAAGACGAGCAAAAATTAGTGAGATTCCGTATATTGTGCTTATTAAAAACGCGAGAATATACTGTTCTGGAGCGCTAATCAGTAATCGTCATGTTTTAACAGCTGCACATTGTTTAAGGAAAAGTAAAACTGTGACAGTGACAATCGGAACTAATACCTATTTTGAAAATGATGAAGAAAATCCATACGCTATGGTAATTAAGTCTAATAAGACATGGATGCACGAGAAATTTTCATTGCCATCAGCTGTGTATGATATTGGAATTATAGAACTTCCCAAAAATGTAACCTTTTCAAAATCAGTTCGACCTCTAAAAATCTCAACAAAAAGAAATGTTGAGAACGATTTCAATGATTTGGAAGTGATTTCTGCTGGTTTTGGATATCCTGAAAATTCAGCTGGTCCATCAACGTTTCTTTTATATGCTCGATTAAAATTAATATCTTTAAAAGAATGCAAAAAGTTTAAAGAATACTATATTGAAGATTTAAATCAAGATCACATTTGCATATCATCAATTCGAGGTCAACCATGTGATGGAGACTCAGGATCGCCTGTGATTTCAACAAAAACAAGAGAACTGATAGGAATTATAAGTTATATAAAGGATGCTGAGAATGGAGTTGATATCAGCTTCAATGATTGTCAGTCAATTGTTCCAGCTGTTGCTACACGAGTGTCCTCATACTTAGACTGGATTAGTGAAAAGACTGGACTTAAATTTGTTAGTAATAAGAATTAAGACAACTTAATTCGGAAAAAAAATTAAATCTCAAAAATCATTTAAACTCTGACGTCATTCTTATCTGACTTCTTTTTCATGTCACAAATTATCAAATATTTTAGACTTTAAGAGTTTATTCATAGCTCCCGAATATGCAGTTAATTTACAGAGTCTAGACTTCAGATCATCCCCTGATTCTCATTAGTTCCATTATATCCATAACTTCTTCTCCTCAGTATCATATATTTTTAATGACACAATAATTGACATGATGAAATTTAATACAAAAACAAACAAACATCAGTCGATATGTCTCAGTTGCCACAATAAACAGCGAGAACAATACAGCAAATAACATTGAAGGAAGAGATGATGTGTGTACTGACATATGTTAACAGACACAGAATTAAAGTGTTTAAGATGTAAAGTTCATCATTCTTTCATCCTCAAAGTCACACACTTCAATGCCTTTTGTTGCTTTTCACTTACTCAATGCCAATGGCTTTATTTGAACTTCTTCATTTCCTCGCCTTTTCATCATTGCGTCACAACAAAACAAAAAAAAATTTCTTCTTATCATCATTCCATTTGGAAGTAATTTTATCATCAAAGTGCTCGTACGTGTGATAGAAAGTGATGAGATGGCAAATTAAATACGACAATAAAGAACAGATGGAGAAGTTATGCGTAATTTTTCATTTTGTCCTGATGAAAACGAAAAAAAAAGACATCAAACGCTCAACGAAAGTTTTTTCCCTGTGTGTGGGGCTTCCGTTCACAACACCACACAATGGAATGAAAAAGAAAGATCAGCGATAAGAAAGTAAAGAAAGCTTTCAGCAAAAAAAAAAAAATCGTGTAAGCCTGATAAGCTCTATAATCTTTATTGTTTTCTATCGTAGCTACTGTTTTTTCGATTCTATCACAATTTTTGCACTTTTTCTGTCAATGAGCCTTTACATTCGCACAAATGTCACATTATTAAGGCTTTTATATTGCCATGTGCGAAAAATTGAGAGCATAATAATAAATTTTGCAGCAAGAACTTTTTTTTTTTGCAAAGGTAAATGACGGTGCGGAAATGGCTTTTGCTAAAATTTGTTTTCTTAATAATCAGTGATGCAATAAAAGTAAATGGAAATGGAAAAAATTTGTAGTGGAAATTTATTATATAGAAATATTGCTAGATGAAACCATGAAAGGTGGATTTAGTAGAAAATTTAAGGATGTTTTAGAAAAAAATCTGTATTTGTTGGTTGACAGTTTGCCTGAGAAGGACAAAATTGAAGTCCAGACTCATCTGAGATAAAGATACGAGTCACAAATAATTTACCATAATTATAATATCTGTTCCTACCAAAATCGTCTAGAATCAACTTAAATAAGGATGCTTTTGTGTGAACACAATTGACTTAAGTCGATTCCAATCATGTCATCCTTAAGCTCAAGTATTTCCAAATTAAAAAATCAAATTGAACTTACCTGGATAAGGAGCAACTTGAAAGCTATGGTAATTTGAATAGCTGCATACTTTACATACTTCATTTCGAAAATAATTAATCCCAATCTAATTTAGAAAGCAATAGCACATTCCAATGATTTCTATTGATAAACATGTCATTTGCATGCGTTTACTTTAATAAATTACCGACGATAATACATTGTATTGGAAACATAAGGAATGCGTCATATTTATGGGAGCTATCGAGGTCAATCATCGAATGATTAATGACTATTAGCTTTTAATGCAATGATTCTATGTTAAATATTGTATTACAAAAAGTGTTCTGCTTGAATGTTCGAATCGATATCATGTAATTTGTTATACATTAACAAATGACTTTAAAATGACGTATCTTCAAGAAAAATCTCCGCTTTAAATTTATGAAAATCTGCTGCCAAGCGAAATATAACATTTTAAAGCTTAATAGGTTTTTGAACTAAGGGTGAGTCTGCAGAGATAAGGTAAATATTTTCGTAGACTTAAATTTAAGAGGATTTTCTCGTCGCACTTTAAATTCGCTTCAAGACTCAATGCTACTTAGACAGTTGTGATTTCTTTTAAAGATTCCGAACCCAAATCTGCAAGCAAATAAACATAAATTCAATTCCTTTAAGTTCAGCAATATTTTCAACACCTAATCTTAACGTATGATAATTTAAACAATGAAATTTCAAAATTTGCTTACGAATTGCAGTTCTAATCTTATTTAAATAAAATCCCAATTTTCTTTCCAACCACACCAACAAATTTCCCACAAAAAAAAAGAAAATTTCCATAAAAATAAAACTTATTTTAGAAGAAGAAAAAAAAATCGTACTCACTCTTTTTAATTCAAACGATAAGCTACTTTGCAATCGCAATAATGATAAAAATCTCGATTTTTTTTTTTTTTGGCAAGTCACCCCCCTCTATTGAGTGGGAAAATGCCTTTTAAACATATAAATTGCCACTCTTTTCAATCTTTATAGATGCAATAAAGCTGATAAAGTACCGAAAAACATCAAATAGACGCGTGTCGATAGCAGAGCGAAGGAGGAAAATAATCGAATAGAAAAGCAACTTTCTAGTACTAAAAAAATTGCTGTATCATTTTGACATATGACATGCTATCATTTCAATGCCAAATGCCATAACAATGCAATGTCAAACATAAATGTTTTCTTTCTTTTCCGATTTTTTTTTTCTCCTTTCAGTGCCATAAAAATGTTGTATGCTCGTACGCTCATACAAGATACTCACATATATGACATCAATGCTATTTGAATTGCTCATAGGAAGTGCGTGATGTGTTAGCATATTTGTTCGGATGAAATGTACGAGAAAAAAAAAATTGTATTCCTTTTTCAAGTCAACCCTCCTCAAGATGATCAATAATTTACGCATTGTCAATGTTTGTTTTTATGATATTTATGAGACATTGTGAATGTTTTATTATTCCATTTGTAAATTCTATCTGAGCGTAATGCTTGATGGAGGATGATAATGGAATAAGAAAAGTATTTTTAAAAAGTGCCCATATGTCAATCGTATCCCTCAAAAAAAATTGTTTTAAAAAATAAAAAAAAAATATTGTGACAGGAATTTAAAATTATAGGAATGAGATTGGCCACAATCCAAATTATTCTAGAGGAAATAGCCAATGTTTATGAAACATCATGATTTTTAGTCTGCAATGAAGTTCAAAGCCAAAAAATAAATGAAAATCATTTATGAATTAATTCACGTCGGAAAATCATTCATCATGTTTTGCTTGAAATTTAAAATTAAACGAGTGCAATTTAAAGTTGTTGCACGAAACATATTGTAGATTTTGTCAGCGTTGAAGATTTATGAGTTCAAAATATTTTGGCATCCATATTGTAGACTAATATTTAGGTGATAATGCTATTTAAGAATTTATGGCAATCGTTAGTTTAATTTCGAGATTGCTGACTTCTTGTCTGGATGAGAATCATGATGAATTTTTAATAGACACAAGAAAAAGTCTATATTTAGAAGCCATTAAATCTGCTCACCATTATATTAAATATTTGGCATTAGGGATTATTCACAAGTGACATCAAAATTTCACACAATCCTTTCCCATTGCCTTCTTATCAATTCTTTAAAAAAAAATCAAAAATTTCGAAACTTCTGATTTTAAAACCAGGATCTGGCTAGGATCATAGTATCTCCAAAAAAATGTACATCATTTGCAAATTACCCAATTAAGTGCGTCATAATTTTTCATTACCTTCACCCTTTTCTTCCTAAAATATCATGTTAACGCTAATACAATTTTATCTTCATCCAAAAGTATAATAAATTTAGAAAGGTTTTCGGTCTCCTCTTGCATCCATTAAAATTTGATTAGAAAATCACTGATTTCATTACATAACTTATTCATTCATCCGAACAAAAAAAATCATATTAAAAATTTATCATTGAGGCCAAAAGCATTTTTCATATATTATGGATGAGATCCATTTGGTGCCCTCAATTTGACACACGTTTATACTTAAAAGCTACAACACAAAAAAGCAGAAAGGATCAGATTAAAAATACGAAAATAGAAACCTATTTAAGAGGTAATTCAAGATATTTTAAAAGCACTGCATGCCAATTAAATTGATGCTTGAAGAAATCAATTTTCAATCAAGAAGCCGCTCTAAATATAACCATGAAAGGTTTATTTCTGTTGTTGTCAATTTAAGTTGCTAAAGATTTTCTTTTTTGATTTTGACCTTCAGGCAGCATTCAATTATCCTTTTTAAATTTATACTGCTTCAGTATATTGGATGGAAAGGACATGTTTATTTTGAGGTTTTTTGAACTTTTACGTATCAGAACCGCATCATTGTGAAAAGCGAATGTCAAAGTTTATACTGTTGAAATGCCTTCCAGATGAAAGGTGGAAAAATATCTTTTTGTTGACAATGTTCTTATAAAAATAAGTACATTTTGGATGTTAAAAACAATAATAGAATTTTGGAGCTATTTAATGGTATAAGTGGTAGAGCATTGGCCTTACGTGTCAAAGTTTCTGGGTTCCACCTCAGTATTGTATCCACCTAACCCTATACCTACACTTACACTCGCTACACTAGTGTATACACCAGGTGCAGGTGTAGGTGTAAGTGTAGGTGCAGGTGTAGGTGTAAGTGTAGGTGTATACACTAGTGTATCCCCTTGGGTGTATACCGAGAAACCCACCCCAGGACAAGTGAAGTTTTAGAAGCTCTTGATCCATTTAATCATTCTGGTTACGAAGCCCGTTTTGGCATCGGGTGTAGTTTTGAGGTCTTCGGCATATAAAGTGTCTGCTTTGCTGGGTATGCTAGGATAAACTAGCATCTTGATGATTTCATTACATTCATGGATTGTGACTGGGGACTCGTGTCTTTGCAATGTGCAGAGCTTGCCAGTGGTTCGGATTCCACTATAAACTATAGGTTTACAAGGTGTAATACAATAGACTCTACTTTAATTTTAATCGCAGTGCCTCCAGCTCAAAAGGCGAGGCCCTCTTTATGCTATACCTTTTTGCA